AATACAACCCTCCTCTCTCTCTACCAGTGCCAATCGTCATCTTCGTTCGATTGTCCTGAAATACACAATTAGTAGGTGAGAAGATGACAGAGCAATCAAGATGCTTTGTAATTCTACTAATAGATAAGAGATTAGTGGAAAAAGTAGGTGCAAGTAAATTCATGAGAGAGAGAGAAAGTAGGTGAAAGCGAGACCCTTGCGGCCCCAGTAACTTTGACAGAAGTCCCATTAGCCACTTGAACAGAGTAAATAGGCGGAGTTGTCAAGGAATCAAATGTGGAGGGATTACAGGTAAAATGATCAGTAGCTCCAGAATCTATAACCTAAAAATCAGATGCAGCAGAAATAGATTGCAACCCAAAATTACCTTCCCCAGAAAATGATCGAGCAACATGGGAAATAGTAGATGTAGGTGCAAGTGAATGAGTAGCAGCAGCGGATGAGCGTGGAGCCTGAGAGTATCTTCCACCTTTCCTCTCTGCCCTCTTGAAACAATTGTCAGAAGTATGCCCTTTAAGGTCACAGAATGAACAAGTTTCAGTAGATTGAATAGGAGTTCGTGATCCAGGATTGAACCCTTTGACCGCCAATGCAGACATCTCAGAATGACTTTCGACCCCCATGGTGAGTTGTCTCTGTTCCTCACGACGAACAATCAAGAACACCTCTTCCAAGCTTGGAAAGGGTATAATAGCCAAAATATGACTACGCACTTGATCCAAGCTATGATCAAGTCCCTCCAGAAACATATAAATCATGTCTTCATCACACCTTCCTTTTAACGCATCAATATAGACGGCATACTTTATAGAATTTGGCCTGCGATAGTCAAGGTCCAAGAAAATTGAATTCATTTCAGTGTAGTACGTGACAGAGGCCGCCCCTCTTGTCGCAGCTGAAATGACTTTTTCATTAGTTCATAAACTTGCGACGAATTAAAGATATCAAGATAACTTCTCTTAACCGCATCCCATACATCTTTGGATGTGTCAAACTGAACAAAGTGAATCATAAGAGCATCTGTCATAGAATTGATTAGCCAAGANGGCTGTGTCAAACTGAACAAAGTATCTCACAAGAGCATCAATCATAGAGTTAATAAGCCAAGACTTAACGATAGCATCATCTGCCGCCCATTCACCATAGCTACTATCACTTTCTTTCGGTACAGTTAGTTCACCAAAAATGAGTAATATGCATCTCCAGTGATTTTGACCACACACGATAGTTAATACCATCTAACTTAATGTGAATTGAAGATGATGTCTCATGAATTAGCGATATAACCACCTTGTTATCAACCATTATTCCGAGATGGCGGGAGAATGAGAGTTAGCAGCAAACTGGCCTCAAGGCGAGAAGAGATGATACTAGAGTTTTTCAGTTCGAGAGATGATTCGTACCAAGCAAACTGCTTGTAAGTCTATGGCGGGAAAGCCCCCAGGCTGCCCATAAGTCTGCCCCAACTACTGGTGAAGTGAAAAAGCCTCACCGATACTAGAGTGAATAAGCACCACCGATACTGGAGTGAAGAAGCACCTTGCTACTAATGCTGTTGCTCTTCGTGAAAATCGCAAGTATCAAAAACAGGCTCGGAGGAAACCGGCTCGCGAGTAAGCTATGGCTCGAATGAAACGAGCTCGCGAGGCTGGTTTCAACTTGTACAGAGAGGGGTGCCGACTAGAGACGGGCTCGTGAGGAAGCTAGGACTGCGTCGAAGGTGCAACTTGCGGTGGAAGACGTTGTCGATGTTTGGGTAACCGGGAAGAGCCGGAATCGGTGCTGACTAGAGTTTGGTTACTGTGTCTCTAATACCAAGTCGGGATTTTTGGGAGAAAAGAGTAAATTGATTTTATTGATAAATGTAAACCAAGTATATACAGAGCCCGTTTGGTGCACATTAAAATGAGAGAATGCATTTTTTTGAAGTGATGTGATGAAAAATATGTGGTTGAAAAAGAAGGAAAAGTTATTGATGTGATGGAAAATATTATTTTATTGAAAAATGTGTGGTTGAAAATGAGTAGAAGAATGAGAATTAAAAAAATAATGTGGCTCAAACAAGGGCTTAAGANCTATTCTTGTAATTTTAACAGTTAAAAGCCCATTTGGTATACATTAAAATGAAAGAATGCATTTTTTGAAGTGATGTGATGAAGAATATGTGGTTGAAAAAGAAGGAAAAGTTATTGATATGATAGAAAATATTATTTTATTGAAAAATGTGTGATTGAAAATGAGTAGAAGAATGAGAATTAAAAAAAAAATGTGGTTCAAACAAGGGCTTAAGATGAAAAAGGAAAAATTGCACTTTAGTCCCTAACAATAACAAAGACTACAAGTTGGTACATGTATTACTATATATTTCAACTGTTTCTGATTACAACTAATAGGTTCATGATTAGAAAATGGGACAGCCAACTTAATGGCTAATATGCATGTTTACAAAGGAATTGAAGTTCACTGAAACAGTATATGCTTAAATATCACATTCAGTTCTTAATAAGTCTTATTCTCCATTAACGATTTTTAGGCAAAAATAAATTGACATGATCCACCCTAATGTGGTTCCTGATCGGAGATGGACAGGTTTCTTTCCAGTCTCGTGATGACCCCGTTACTCATAACTCAGAAAAGGAAACCATGTCACTTCTATATTCATTACAGGAACAATTCATCAGTGCCTGAAAGTTTCTCCCTTTATTTTAAACACCGTTGTTCCATTCTTAGGCAAACCATCCATCCCAATGGTTTTACAACTGATTTTTTTGTCAAGCTATCTGACTATATCGATGTTTTGAAGTGCATCATCCTTTGAACTTTGCAGAAGTTCTGATGGCCTGGATCGACTTCTAGATCCTAATTGCTCCCCGACTAACTCCCATAAACAAAAACAAGAGAATCAAGAAGCCACACACAATTCGAGAATCAAGAGGCTAAGCAATCTGGGACATACAAAACTAGTCGCATTGACCATGAACAATTAAAAGAACTTCATTTCATGTTAATGATGACATGAATGGTTGTTCATAGAAACTACTACTCATCAAAGCACATGTATTCTCTTCGAACTACATTCAGTGATATTCTACACTCCAACATTATTTGAAAATTTTACATAATTATTTTCTCTCTCCTGATAATAAGCAAATAACAATGATTTAAACTCCAATACAAATATCCAAAAGATTCAATGTACCGTATTCCGCACCTGTTGCTGTACCGGCATGCAACGCGCAAGTTTTACATAATGCCTGGATGAGTCATTTGGCAATGTCCATTTACAAGGAAAATTCAACTTCAGAATATTAGCAGCCATGCTCAATGCTCATTGCTTAGTTGCCAAGAGTTTCTTCTAAGCCCACACAATTCCCTTGTATATCCATCCATCACCACTCATTTCTGGTCCCAAAATCTGCCCCTGCATCCAATCTTTATCACAAAAAGGCCACCCACAACTCCAATTGTGGTTCAAACTTTAAGCCCCACATCACATCGAAAAACGTCAAACTTACAATATAACCCCTAATATCTCAGGGGTAGAAGTGTAATCCTTGCACCAAAAATTTCAAGGTCAAGTTGGATCGTTTCAGGCCGAGGATGGCCTGGCTCGGGCTGACCAATAACCGGGTTGTGCTGGCTAGTTTATACCTTTAATTGCACTTTCCTTTTGAAAATAAGATCAAATCAAGTTACAATCTTATTCAACTCTACTGGTATCGATTCTTGAAATCACAATAAAAAGCACAAATTTGGGATCTGACCTACCTCACTGGCTGATTTTCATAATAATAATAATAATAAAATCGTATGCCCCTTCTTTGTTTACTATTCACAGAATTGCCACCAATGGGAACATGAACAAGAACGATGAATCCCAAACCAGATCAGCAGCTATGAAACTGGCAAGCTCCCTCTTCTCCTTCACTGTAATTATATCACTTACCGTGCCTATTATTGTCGTCATTTCTGTTCGGGTTGGCCCATATTCCACCGAACCGGCATGTAACAAACCTGACCCACGAAATTTGAGATCCGATCTAATGACAGTTATCATCAACGGCTACTCGGAAAACCGCATCCCACATATACAATCAATCGCCGCCGCATACTCCGCCTCCCCGTCGATCGCAGCCGTCATTCTCCTCTGGTGCAACTCCTCCACTCCACCGCAAACCCTTTCCTCCCTCGCCCAAAACCTCCCCGCCACCATCCTGCGCCCGCCCTCCTCCAGCCTGAACCACCGATTCTACCCCTGGGATATTATCAAAACACGGGCTGTCCTCATCTCCGACGACGACATCGAACCGAATCAGAAATCCATTTCCTTCGCCTTCACCACCTGGAAATCGAACCCGGATCTCATAATTGGGTTTTTCGCTAGATCCCACGCTTATGACTTGCAATCCAAATCATGGATCTACACCATGGAGAAAGAAAAATACTCGATCATACTAACCAAGTTCATGATAATTGACCGTACCCACCTCCAAACATACACATGTGATGATAAATACATCAAAACCAGGCACATCGTGGATGAAATGAACAACTGCGAGGACATTTTGATGAACTTCGTGGTGGCGGAAAATGCAAACAAGGGCCCATTATTGGTGGAAGCAAAAGGGGGTGTAAGAGACTACGGAGATGCCAGAAACGACGACGGATTACGAGTGAGCGAGGTGGGGTTGAGCAGTAGGATAGGGGAGCATAGAAAACGAAGAGGGGAATGTATAACAGAGTTTCATAGATTGTTGGGAAGAATGCCATTGAGGTATAGTTATGGAATGATGGTTAATTCAGTTGGGGAACAGGGATTGTGTGTGAAAGGTGAGAAGCTGGTGCCTTGCGATCAACAGATTTTTTAACAGATTGTTAAAATCAGATTGGCCTGTTCGATCGGAAAACTGTCAAACTAACCATAGAGTCGAGCTTGGTTTCATCATAGGATCGTTATGCTCATGAACAGATCAACAACTGTCATCATAGGATCGTTATGCTCATGAACAGATCAAGAACTGTATGAACCGGTCGAAGACAGCTCAAGTATTCAAAGGATTTTGCTTTGTATGATGTTACAAAATTGTAACCTTAATTTTTTGTTCTAATATTTAGATATTTTTATTCGAACAATTCTCAGTGTAATCACTAACAGTTGTTGGATAACGTTGTCATGTTTTGATATATTGAATTGAATTGTAAAGTTTTATAGCATGGCAGACTCGACAGCCACCTCCTCAAGCATTCCTTCCACCTTCATTTTGCATTTCGAGCAGTAGAGTCCATTTCCGATGGGCTTCCTGATGACCATCCTCGAGAGGGCAATCAAGTCATGGACATACTTCCCACCACGAAAAAACATAACAAGACCACTCTTTAAGCAGATGACGGTTGAGAAGAATTTGTTCGGTTCCGGTACCCCAAGGCCAGTTACTTGCATCATAGCAGATGGGTCTTGAGTTTTGCTTGTGATTTTGCTCAAGAGAAAGGGATTCCCCTCATCTATTTTTGTACTATTAGTGCTTGCTCCTTTTGAGCTTATTTTTTTTAATAGTGAATTCCCTGTAGCTGTTGATGTTGATGTATTTTCTAACGACTTAAATTTTTAGATCAAATGGTTCCACATAAATTGAATTTGCTTTTGGGTTATTGGCTCAAAACGTCCCTACCTTTGAAGGGTTGTGTGGAAAACATCCCAACGTTTGATTTTTTGGTGCGCAACGTCCCTACCTATCAAGTTTATTGTAGAAAACATCCCTACCAATCATTTTTTGGCACAAAACGTCCCTACCTTCTGCATTT